GCAGGCGAAAGTGATTGTGTTTTTCTCGCAGAGTTGATGTCTCGTATTCTATGAATGAGAAATAGCATTTTTTTCTATGCGTGGAATCGACCTCAAGTACAAAGAAAATTGTTCATTATTTACTAAATTCAAATTGCTTCTCACTTTTATGTAACCACTGTTATCACTTGTTTCATGTGGAGCACGAAGTCATTGCCATATTGCAGAATCTTCCAATGCCTTCGCTGTCCCGACGTCGAGAAGAGTCCAGAAAAGCGCCTATTAAGCCGCTGGAACCGGGCATGATGATGAGTGACACCCATGTCTTGGACAGAATTAACAAAGAGATGGAAAGTCTGACATCAAGGTAGTTTTTGTACTTTATTTAACTTTATTAAAGTTTTTCATTATTTTTTCCACTTTTTCTTCCCTGTGAATTCATGCGATTTAGAAGTCGAACTGGTCACAATAGATCTCCAGAAGATGCTGCAACGAGTTCAAAAAGTACACCATCAGCGAGGGTAAAGCATGATTGTTAGCCTTTTTCCTGTTGTAGAGCTTCTGAAAACCCTATTTTTCCTCTTGCTGCAATTTCTTACCGCACGGTAACATCCACCTTAGATTCCTAAGCGTGATGCTCCCGTGGACTACGCTCAGGTTCTATTTTCCAACGCACCTGTCATAAAGAGAACGCCACCTACGGTGGAGAAAAAGGTATCGAGCTATTTATATTTAAAATTTTTGAAGCGTTTATAAGCAATCTCTCTAAAAGAAATTGATTGATGTTGCTTTTTTTACCTCAGTCTTAAACAAGAATTATGATTTTATTGAGAATGATCTTGAAATTTTCAAATTTGAAGAGGAATACCTATGAGTGGTCGATTCATTGCCATATGGCTATTTTTTCCAACTAACATGAAATTTCAGAGAAATCTCGTCATATCCAGCGGCTTGGTGACAGATAACCCTAACCAGCTGGTTTTCTCCAAGGCTCATTCGTCTAGATGTGAGTCGTCCATTGTGTTTACTTTGAGATTTTACTACAAGCGACTTATCATGTGAAAAGATTTAAAATTCAGCTGAATGTGGACAAATCATCTAGCTGTTTTATTTTCTGGAAAAAACTCACATATTTGGATTTTTGGTTAAGAAAGCTACCTAATTTCATATGAAGAGCTAGTAACCCACGATCTATTGTTAAAAGATTTTTCCTTTTTATCATCGAATTTTCCATAATTTTTAATTTGATGGCGCGTTCTTGTGTACTTGTTTTATATTTTGTTCAAACATCGTCTGTCTACGCTAAATCTTTGTGTTTTTCAAACGGTTAACAGAATTTGTCATCAAAAGGTTCCGTTATACATTTAAGAAAATTATTTTAGTGGGAATGTTTTTGGAAAAAGTCAGCGACAAACATAGAAAGCTCATGAGCGAACACGATTGCGACTCTGAAGTAGCATCACCTTTATATGAGGTATCTGATTATGAGAATATATTGTTTTTTCAAGGTATGATACTTTTTACCAGGAGTCGGATCATAGCGGAGCTCGTTCACCTTTTGGCGTCCCGCAATATGCCAGACAACCATCGCTAAAATATGCGCCACAAAAACGGCCGTTGCCCACATCGAGCATGGATTCGTATCTTGGATCTCCGGTGCAGGTAAGAAGCTACAATATAATGTGTCCTATGATTTTTGATCTTTTGTTTCTTTTTCTTTTTTAAGGTATAGTTTTTGAAATTAAAGACCTAGTGATGACTCAATATTTCAACGGGGACTTTTGCAGGGATACTAAGCTATAATTTGTAGTTGGCTCTGAGGTCGGCGTTAAGCGCCTGAAATTAGCGTCTTAAAACCTGAGAGCTTGCATATTTCAAGCTATCATTCATAACATCTACCACTTTTAAATGATTTGGAAATGAAGTGCATTACTGATAGAATTTTGAGTACATTTTGGGGCTTACACTGACTTAATTCAACATTGTAGTTGAGATCATATTTGAAGAAAATTGGCAGTGCTTACATACTTTTATTTGAGATGTCGAAAGTAACCAGTGGTTGCATACCTCTTCAAAGTTGAAAGTGGTTTTTAATCTGTTCGCCTAATATCTACAAAAGCTATCTCTCCTCAAACTTGGTCTTTTCTCCATTCTTGGTGTTCTTTGACACTTTTGCGCTATTAGGCGGTGGGATATTTGAAGGCTTCTGAGAAAAGTCATCTTCTTAGAATATGGAAATCTCAGTTGTGTCGCTTTTCAGGAAATATGTAGGGTGTTCAGAGTAGTTTTAGGTAAGGTAATCTATTTTCAGCGTTATGTTACAGACGCATATCTTACTTAACACCTTACTTATCAATATTTATGTGAGTCTGGTAATCTGGAGCTTCCTTCAAAGAAGTTCCTGTTTTCTTCTTCTTATCCATCCGTCTCTACTCTACATATCAACCTTTGTCTAAATTTAAGAGCTCGCCAGACATCAGAGATGGCGAAACAACCTCATCGCGACCATCAGGCAAGAAACCGAAGATTGATCTATCTCGGATGCCCGACATCATTGACAAATTGTACAGTAATAAGTAGCAAAATCGCCGGCCTATATGCACTTATCGCTGCGACTTACTTAGATATATTTCCTTTTACGTTCAAACCCTTTTTTCACCCCCTCTCCCTCTTAATTGGAGTGACGTCGAATTGTAAATGATTACTGAGATTTCCCTTAATTCATCTCATAATCGTAGATTACACAGCTTCTCTATCATTTGACGGTTGTTCACTTTTTGCTCATCTGAACTGTTCCAGTCCATATTTATGGCTTGTCTGAGCGTTCTAGAATGTAGCCTAACTACGAAATGTTCAAAATGTTTGTCTTTCCTGAATACCATTTTAGTACATTTTTCATAAATTACCGGTGTTTTGTGGGTTGCATGGCTAACTTCCTTTTTCTTTGATTGCTTGTATTAGCTGCACGAGTTAACTGTTAAGTAAGGACTTTGATAACTAGATTTGCTTGTATAATTGTACTCTTTGAGGTTTTGTATCCAAAAAATAGCTGTAGTGGTACTGCTGTAGTAGTTCCATCATTCATATTTACTGCTAAGAAACAGACTCTTCTCAGGGTTAAAGTAAGATTGAGGGTGTTGGATTTTATGCACTCGTTATAAATTTGTGTGTGTTGTTTGTCTACTTATGCACCTAATGAAACTTTTGCCTTAATCTCCTTCGGATCCTTATCAGGCTTCATAACCCTGGGTTTTTATGGGTTTATAGCGATCTACAGCTAGAGGTTCGTGAGTTCTAACCTTTTCTCAGCAAAATGTTCTACTAGATGACAGCATTTCTTCGTCGGGTGCTTGTACCTCAGCGTCCGCTCACCCGCTTCTTTTGTACACCTTCAACGTCAGCTGTAGATGAGAGGTAAATTGAATCTATCTATATAATCAATTAGTCATTTTTTTCTGCTGAAGTCTATTTTTGTTGTAATCTATAGGTACGATTCCCTATTGCGTGAAGCATTTTCAAATACTGAAACTTTGCCTGAACATTGGGGTCTCCAAGCTGCAAGAGGGACGTCGTCGCATGATTTTATGGTTGTTCACCCTAAGGTGAGTTCAGCTGAATGATGAGGAGAACATTGCATTATCCGATTTAAGTTATTCCTTCTAGAAGTTCATAGAGCACTTGAGATGTTTGGTTTGGAGTCTTGCTCGATCTCTTAAAGGTTTCTGTAGCTCGCATTGCACTTTTAAAAGGCATTTTTTGAGAATGCTTTTCTTCATGTTATGTCGTCGTAATTTTTGGCTTCATAACAAACGATTATCTATCTTCCGAAATTTGGGGGTCTTCTTTCTGATTTGAGTTCCTCCCGTCTTTGCTCCTCTTTCGGTATAGAATTCATTCGTAATTTAAGAGCTCAATAGTAATTATAAGCATTGTTTTACGGTACCATAACTTGTGCAACAAAGGACCTTTTTAAGGTCCGATGGGGTTCATCCTCAGCTTCAAAATTAAAAGATCCACAGCGGCAGCTAGACGAAGCTGTCACGTTAGTGAACACATTGCCAGGATTCCGAGTTGTAGAGTAAGTGCATGAATTTTTATTACATCCACTCATTTTTTTAATGCAAGCAAAGATCTTCTTGTCAAAGTAGCCAATATAACTATATTATGAAGTCTCTGCATAAAGTACTTCTTGAAAGCTTTAACCTTAACTTGAAAAACGATGTATGAGTTATCTTAAAACGGTTT